GGGGGGCACCTTGTCGCCTAGTTGCCTAGGCGATGGATTTTTTTAAGTAAAAATCACATATCCTAGGGTAGTTCCCTAGGTCCCATAACCAATTTCTTTAAGAAAATTATAAACTTCATGTTTAAGTCCAGAAAATCAACATATTTATGAGAAGAAAAAGAAGAAGGAAAGAAAATTAAAAAAATATAGGGGCTGAACCCCTACTTTTGTTATAGGAAAAGAAGAAAAGAAAAGGTGGAAGAAGAAAATTTTGCTTAGACAAAATTTTAAGTTCTTCCCTTATTGGTTCTTGATTAGACAAAATTTTAAGTTCTTCCCTTACTTATTGGTTCAGATTTTGAAGTCATTGAGGGTTCAATACAGCAGTTAGAAGAAATGAATATTTTTCTTTAATGTTTATTTTATAATATATAACAATATAAAAGTATTTTATTATACAATATGGAAAACTGCTTGGCGGCTGGCATAGTTGTCAAGGCGACTAGGCGCTTTTCAAAGAATGCGTTGCCCAAACGCCAACTATGTTAGGTGCATGCTTAGGGGGCTGAAGCAAATATATACTATATAAATATTTATTAAATAAAAAATAAAAAATATATAATATTTTATTGATTGTTTTAGTTTTTATAATAGAACCTATTGCATGTTATCATGCTTTTGTTTTGAGGAAAGTAAAACAAAAGTAATCTTCGAGGGTTTCACTTTGACAATAGAATCGAACTGAGGAAGAGGAGAACAACAGCCCTCCATCGTTCCCACACGGTCCTCTAAAGTCAAGGTGAGTTAATCAGTTTTCTTCTTCTTCTTTTTCTTAGTTTTGTTCTCTGTTTCCTGGTTTAAAACAGTAGTTACACCCCATTTTTCTCTTCTTCCTTTTTGTATCTTTTCTCCAAGTTTTTGAATCATTTCATTGGACTAAAACAGGGGCTCCGCCCCCTTCTTTTGTTCTTAATTTTCCTGCATGTTTCCTGCTTTTTTTTTCCTCATTATTGGTGTCTGAAATAGGGGCGGAACAAGGGCTCCGCCCCTTCTTTTATTCTTCATATTCTTCTTTTATTTTAGTATTTTTTCACCAGATTTTTTGGGTCTATAACAGGGGTTCTGCCCCCTTCTTTTGTTCTTAATTTATTGCATTTTTTCAGCCTTTTTTTCGTTCTCATCATTTGTTTCTGAAACAGGGGCTCCGCTCCAAGGGTGCCTTGTCGCCTAGGCATCGCCTTGACGACTATGCTCAGGCCAATCAGGAGTTTCTGTCAGAATCATTCAAATGTTACTAGAAGCTGAGGGAAATATGCCCTTCATAAGACAAATCGAGAAGATAGTTTAGTACATTCATGAGGTGGAAGATGAACAAAGCAAATGCATCCAAACATATGAAGTGATGAGAAGTTATGTGGATGATGAAATAAGCATTGAAAGGGTTAGGTGTTATAAAAAACAGATGGGATTAAGTTCATCAAATACACAACAGTGTTGGCCGCCTCCACCCTAAAGGAAGTAAGAACATGGGAATCTTGGAGGAGGGTTCTCGCAACACTCAAAATATGTCTATCTTACACTCTGCAACCCCATTTTGTTGTAGAGTTCCTGGGCATGATCGTTGAGAAATAATTCCTTGTTCTTTCAAATAGGTTTGGAACTCTCCAAACTCCCCATCATATTATTCCCCCCTGAATCTGAATGTAAAGTACCAATGGTAGCATTAAACTAATTCTTAACCAAGGCCTGAAACATTTTAAATGAGGGAAACACATCTGATTTCTTGTGCAAAAAAATAGATCCAAGTGAATCGAGTGCAATCATCAATGAAAAGAACAAAATATTTGTAACCCAGTCTAGGAGTTATAGGAGATGACCGAACATCACTATGTATTAACTTGAAACTGAAAGGAATAGTAGAGTGTTTAGCAATAGAAGGAAATGACAATATATACTCTTACTCAAGCAACATGTAATACAAGATTTATCAACATTAACAAAAGTAGTGTAAGGTGCCAATCGGCTGGTTGGTAAGGTCTCCTGCTTGTTGTAGCAGAGATTTGGGATCAAATCCTGCTTGCACCTGGGTTGGGGGATGGGCTACCCCCATTGTGTATCCCATCAAAAGATATCAAAAAAGCATTAACAAAAGTAGTAGATTTAGAAGATAGGCAACTGATACGAAAAAAGAACTCAAGTTTCTTAAGATAAGGGTGGCCAAGATGTATATGCCAAAGATGCCACTCATTATTTTTGCAAACAATATCAGATATAGAAGCATTAGAAAGAAAGCAAGGTGAAGTAGATGGTGTCTTCTTCCTGACTTCCAGAGCAAATAGCTGGCCTGGCCTATGCCCTTTCCCCTTTACTGTCCTAGTGTGCCGATCTTGGATTAAACAACCATCAGAGGAAAAAGAGACAAATGCTACCATCATCAACCAATGGACCAACATATATTAAACTAGTAGCAAGTTTCAGGACAAAAAGGGTTTTAGGGAGATGAAAACGAGAACTAGTTAGTAGATGTAAGCAAAGTCAAGGCATCACATCCATTGATTTCAAGTTTTTCACCATTGGCTGTAATGATGTGTTTAGTAAAGGATGAAGGTTTAAGAAATTGACCAGAATATGCCCCTGTCATATATGATTAGAGGCACTTGAATCAATTATCCAAAGATGCCTTGAATTGGGACATTGAGGTGATGACTTACCAGACAGACCAATGGGTGAAAATGCAGTAGATACCAATTGCCGCATCTTCTCCTCAATCAGAACACCAGAGGACTCTCCGTTAGTTGACGTCTGGGAAGAAACAGGTGTATCATCTGGACCCCCAAGAGTAGACTGATAGGCTTTGTGCTGATTCTTCTTTGGGGTTGATGTGTGTCCCTTGGGTGGCCGAGTGGGACACTCAGGATAATATGTCCTTGTTTGCAGTAGGTACATGTGTTCTTTTTGCAGTGGGAAACCACGTGGTCAAACTCCTTTACTCATAACACTGAACCTGAGACAAGTCCCTTTTGGGTTTGGACTTGTTAGCAAGAAAGGCAATTTCAGCACCAGTGTCCTGCTTCCCATTTATGGTAGACTGAGTAAGCATTCTTGTTTCTTCTCTAAGAAGTCTCCCAAGATAGATTCAAGATTAGGTGTAGTGCCCCTACTCAAAATATTTGACCTAATCACCTCAAATCCAGACCTCAAGTGCTTGAGAAAGTGTATAATCCTTCTATTATCAAAAGGATCTTTCATTGCTTTGACATAGCAACCTGTCAAAGATTCTCCTAGATGGGCCAATTCATACAGTCCACAAGTTTACAAACCCAGCATGGTATTCCTATATTCTCTTCTCCCCTTATTGTAGGAGAAGATTTCAATTTTGTACTGCCTAATAGAGTAGTTTGCTGATAAAACCTTTTCCATATAACCAAACATCTCCTTAGCCATTCTTTGACCTCTCATTGGAATGACAATATCTGTCTCAATCGATCCAAGAACCCACAAGACAACTTTATCATTGTCAAATTTCCATTGTTTCAGCCCCTTACCATCAAATTTATTTGGTTTAGGTATTGAACCATCAATATCGCCCCACAAACCTTGTCCTCCACAAAATATTCAAAATGAAACTTCCATAATGCATAATTACTTCCATTGAACTTAATTGGTAGTATTTCTCTCCTATCCGAAACCACTACAGCAGTTTTCTAGAGGAAACCACCTTTCTAGAGGAAATCCCCAAATAACCAAGAACAGTAAGTACCAGTTCAAATGAGTTAACTTTCAGCACTGTCAACAGGAAGAGAGGGATCAAAAGTTCAAAACCCTAAGACTGAAAGCAAGATCAGATCTAATAGTCTGAAAGGGAAGGCTAGGGTGACACAGAATCCAGATTCCTAGCCAGATACAATGGTCCGAATGAGAGAAAAAGAAAATGCAGATCTGACCTGTGATTTCCTGAGAAAAAAGGTGAAGCCTTGTACTGATCAAAACAACTCCAAAAAGCCTTGCAGAGAAGTACACAATGTTGATATGTAGTCCTTAAATCTCCCTTTGAATGCCAAGAATCAAGAATCAAACCCAGGTCAGATGAATCTGCTCTGATATCATGTCAGAACCATTCGAATGAGACAAGAATAGGGTTTTAGGGTGTGTTCTCCATCACACACGCCCAAGAAAGACTTGTGTTTATATTAAAATGTTACAAGAAGCTGAAAGGACAAATCTGCTCTTCATAGTAACAAAGAAAGAAAAGAGAGCAAAAACATTACATATGATACAATGCTTATAATACAAATATAACCATACTCCTAGGCTTATGATATACGGTCTCTACAGTGGCAACTGTATTGAGGGACTGGCAAGATCTATACTGCTAAGATACTGAGGACCAGTGGTGATAATAAAAGGAAAAAAGATACTGAAGCCAGCAGGGGAAGGACTTTCATTGAGAGCAGAACCTCTTGTCCTCCTTCAAGGGCTCAAACAGGCTTTTATTCTTTAGGATGGACTAAACTACTTGTTGAAGAAGACTGTCTCTTCATGGAAAGAGGGTTCCAATAAGAGAAGTAAAGGCTCCAGCTCCGAACTTGAACTGCTCATTCAGTTAGGTTCCCAAATCTGCTAATGGCCTTGCTGATTCTTTAGGAATGAGTCGAATGGCAGGGATAACCAGAAACGAGCCAGTTTGGTGGGCACCGGGCTCTGAGATGTCACTTTATTTGTCAAAATTTATCTGTTTTTGTACTTTTTTTGCTACCTTCATTCTAAGCCCTATCATGATAATAAATTTGCAAAGACAAAGATGTTTCTTTTCATTGTCTTGTTCTATGATTATAACGGAGGCTCATGTGTAAGTATTAGATAATAAATGTCCTAAAATTCTTAATGCTTTTCATTTGCTCCCTAACCACTTTCATCTTCAACATTGATGCTTTTCGTTATTCTCATCATTATTTTGTCCTATATACAAGAAAAAAAAATATTCCTGTTCCTTGTAATTTACTTAATTTGTTGTTCACTAGGCAATCATCAAGCCCCAGTATGTTGACCATATTCCAAAAGCAGTCCAAGGCAATGTGGGTCAGGTGCTTGACCAAAAGGATGAGAGAGAGATGAAGTCAGAACTTTGTGAAGAACTTGACCTGAATCAGGTTATAGATCGAAATGTGGGTGATTTATCAGGTGGAGAACTCCAAAGATTTGCTATTGCTGTTGTTGCCATACAAAATGCGGAGATATACATGTTTGATGAGCCTTCTAGTTATCTTGATGTGAAACAAAGACTTAAGGCTGCACAAGTCGTCCGATCTTTGCTCAGGCCAAACAGGTTTTATGTGCTTCAACATGTTATATGCTTACTACTATTATTCACACACTTTTCTCTAGTGCCTTCATGCATAGATTGATAGATTTGTGATTGCCTTTTCTCTTTTCCTTTTTCAGCTATGTCATCGTTGTGGAGCATGACCTAAGTGTCCTAGATTACTTATCGGACTTCATTTGCTGCCTATATGGGAAGCCAGGAGCATATGGAGTTGTGACCCTTCCTTTCTCTGTTAGAGAAGGAATTAATATCTTCTTGGCTGGATTTGTCCCTACAGAGAATCTAAGGTTCAGAGATGAATCTCTTACATTTAAGGTAAAATGTTTTATCTTGGGTGTGTGTGTGTGTTATATCATTGATTTATCTATTATTTTATGTTTACCTTTTTTCTGTTTATCAGGTTGCTGAGACTCCACAAGAAAATGCTGAGGAGATTCAAACATATGCACGATATAGATACCCCACCATGACTAAATGTCAGGGAAATTTCAAGCTTCGTGTGCTTGAGGGTGAATTTACTGATTCTCAGATTATTGTAATGCTGGGTGAGAATGGGACTGGGAAGACAACATTTATCCGCATGCTGGTATGCTTTCTTGGCGAATTATTATTAGCTGTTTTGGATGTTTTGTGTATGCATTTTGAGTTATTTTAATTCTGTAGAGATGTAGAGCAATAATTAGTGCTGTTATATTGCTGTTATTTTATTTATTGTGGTCCCCACTGCTGCTGTTAGTTAGTTCCTACTTTATATTTGTTGTTAGGCTGCTGTTAGTAATGCTACTTTTGTTAGTTATTTGCTTATGTAAGCAGTAGGGGCATTAATATAATTGCTGTCTTATATTTTGATGTTATTATAAATAGCTGAGTGGGGCGGCAACTAAAGCCAACACTCTTTCTCTCATCTTTCTCTTCTCTCTTCTCTTTCTCTCCTCCCTTTTTTCTTTCTTCTTGTTTTATGGTATTTTTTCATATTGAATTTGCATCAAGAATTGAACTGATTACAGTCCTGATTTGCCAACTAATTCCAAAGGTTTTTTAGTGTCAGTGTTTATTTCTTTATATTTCTCATTCAAGTTGCACATTGGGTCCAACTATTTTTTTTTTTCTTGTTGTAACTACAGGCTGGTTTATTGAAGCCCGATGTAGTGGAGGGTTCTGATGTGGAAATACCTGAGTTCAATGTTTCTTACAAGCCACAGAAAATCAGTCCGAAATTTCAATCTAAAGTCAGGAACTTGTTACATCAAAAGATCCGTGATTCATATATGCATCCTCAGTTTGTATCAGATGTCATGAAACCCCTTCTAATTGAGCAATTAATGGATCAGGAAGTTGTGAATCTCTCTGGTGGGGAGTTGCAAAGGGTTGCATTATGCCTATGTCTTGGAAAGGTATGTAAATCTTTTTTCTGTTAAGGTTTTTCGTTGGTATCTGCATATGAGTTCTTATGATTAAGTAGGTATTTATCATTGATATTGCAATTATTCTTATGATAGATATTTTGAAATAGCTAGATCTAGCAATCAAGATATAATCAAGTTGCAAGAAAAATAAGTTAATTTGTATTTCTTAATTTGTCTTTTGTAAGTGACCACTGCTAAATGCACTTTATTTTTTATTCTTTTTATATTTATCCCTGTAACTGGAATGGATTGTCATTATAGTGCTACATTCCAGGGAGAATGGTTATGGTCCAACAGGACTACTAGCCCAACTCCCAAGTAGTCTGTCCCTCTTAGGGATATGATAGATTACAAGCAAGATAAGCTAGGTTGGTGAACTCTTAGTTATGTCTTGATAGTCTACAAACTTGATTTCACTTGGTAAAACGTATCTATATTAAGTGCAGGTTGTGTACATGTTAATGCTTGTATTGATCTGAGAGTTTCTTCAGGCATTTATATACCTGTAGCTTCTCTTTTATTTATTGTTTAAAATTCCAGAGGTTGAACCGACCTGGAGGCTGAACTGTTTTTGCCCCTCTGGGTTGTGGGTCACTGGTTTGACCATCCGGGTCGAACAGGTTAGACAGTGCCACATTATATGCATACGTACATACATATGTATGCATTTATTATTTTATCAATAAATAATGTATAATTATATTCTACATGTAATATATGTATTATTTTATATTTAACTTACATATTTTAATTCAAATTTTATTTTTTTATTTGTAAAAAATGCTAAAAGTTTCAATTTGAGGCCAAAAAAGGTTTTTTTTGTCAAGAAATATCCAGGCAAGGAGTCAAAGGTGCCTTTGGATGCATAGATTTTGAAAAGTTATCCAAAATAAAAAAAGATCACCCCAATTGGACATCCAAGTGCAAAGTTGTGGCCTCTGAAAGTTTGCACATACATTAAGCGTGCAACCCATGACCCAGTGACCGGGTCAAACGCGTCAATGGTTCAACCACCTGGGTTGGATGGTTTTTGACAGGTAAACGGTTTTGACCAAAAGACGGGTTTCATGTAAATTGGACCTGGAATCTCGACTGGGTGACGGTTCAAGCGGTTTGACCATCCGGGTCAACATTGGGTTGAGAACACTGGTTAATGGTCCTTTTATTTTCATAATTTTATCTTTAATCAAAATCTTTATTGACTAGAACTAGTCTTGAAATTAATTGTTTCTCTTGACAAAATTTTCACCATAGTTTGTTTATTATCCAATTAATTAAATGAGAAGTATATATTTTCTCATTTCTTTCCCAAAAATGAAAAAAGTACAGTAAAAGATTTTGGAAGCATATTGCTCAGAATTGTGTAAATTGGTCTGAAATGTTGTAGATATATTTGTTGGTCCAAATACTTGGAAATTTTAGTTTGCTTATTTGTAAGTGTAGATGACACTGTTTGGTGGCATTTATGCAGCCTGCAGACATTTATCTGATAGATGAACCAAGTGCCTATCTTGATTCAGAGCAGCGTATCGTAGCTTCTAAAGTTATCAAGAGATTTATTCTACACGCTAAGAAAACTGCTTTCGTTGTTGAGCATGACTTCATAATGGCAACTTATCTGGCAGATAGAGTTATTGTTTACGAGGGAAAACCATCTGTGGATTGTAGTGCTAATGCTCCACAGTCCTTGTTGACAGGGATGAACCTTTTCTTATCTGTAAGCCTCAATCCTTGTATTCGTATGTCCCTTTTGTTTCTTGAAGCTGTACTTAAGGAAGATTAGATTACTGTTTGGAATAGAGTTGGGATGATTTTTAAAAGGTTTAAGGAAGGATTCATGTTTTATTTGATGCTAGTATTTGTTTATAAAGTTCCTCTATTGTGATAATTTATATTCCACGTCTCATGTATTTTTAACTTATTTTGTTTCTTTTGTTTTTCTCCATTACAACTCATCTTCTCATTTAACCTTGTTCCTGTGCAGCATCTGAATATTACATTTAGACGGGACCCAACTAACTATCGGCCACGAATAAACAAATTGGATTCAACAAAGGATCGGGAACAAAAAACTGCTGGGTCCTATTACTATCTTGATGATTGACAAAGTTTCATTCAGAGGTTTTCTCATCCTGATCTTTATTGTTTTGTGTTTTGATTTTTACATTTACTTAGCGGCTTGATGTTCTGTCTGCCTGCTCCTTTTCTTCATAGGTATTTCCATGCTTGTGTAAGATTAAACGGGTGGATTTTTACACTAGTTTTGCCTGTGTGGGTGAGTCATCTTCTGACCCCCAAAGCCGGATTATGGTTTTCCAAGAGGTTTATCCTATAATCCTTAATTGATTTGTATTTTCCTTTCTTTTCACCCCTTACAGCAGCTTGAGTCTGTCTTCATCTTTTATTGCAGGCATTTCTCTGGTTATGTACGATTAAGTAGGCATGTGGTTCAGCTAGGTGTGGAGCTTGGTTGATTCATCTCCTGACATCTGGACAAGGGGGCAAACTTTTTTATCCGTCATATAGACCGTCTGTTCAATGGATACATTGGCAAGTCATGTATTTGTTCCACCTTTGTTTTTACTTAATTATTTCTTTTAGTAAGTTTGAAGTGAGTGGATTAGAAACTTTATGTTAGCCTGTATTCCTCTTACATTCTTCAAATGAGCTGTTGACGCCTTGTATTTTCACAAAATTACGACTCCAGGTGGGAAAAAAGATTTTGTGCTATGCAACAAAATTTTGATAAATTTATTTAGAGTTTGATACGTACTCGGGAATCATTTAATCTTTCTCCATTAATGGGATTCTTTTGGCTACAATTTTTTCAAATCGCCCTTTTATCTTTTCCGCGAGATTTTGAATGGCCCTGTTTAAAAACCTAGCGTCATATTGATGGATTTCTGCTGTCTCAGTTTTTTTTTTCCTCTTTTTAATTGATTTGATTTTCAGACAGGGATTTACAGATCAAAAGACTTGGATATATGCATGTGCTCTTCTTAAATGTAGAGAAGAGAAATTTCGTAGGAGAAAATGGCACAATATCCATCTCGATGAGTTTCATTTTGGGCTTACCTTACTCCAAGCCTTAAAGTCAAGCTAGTAGATTGGAGTATTGGACGGTTTGAGAGAATTTGAAAATTACTCTATGCAACATGGGTTAGTATGCTGTTTAATTAATCTTTTGACAAACTTCATTCATCTGTGAGCGTACAAAAAAAAAAAAAAAAAATCTGTGAGCGTGGGTACAATACTCCAGTGATTGAAATGTACGAGACATATCTAGAGGATTTGATAGCACTTGATGAGAGGTATCATTAAGAACCACTGCTCCAATGAAAAGCATCATAAACAGATGATATTAATTCATAAGAGTTATTTCTTCTGGTGGATATTCAGCCAGATGAGCATGTGGAGAAAGCAATGAAATGAGATAAATGCACATAATTATTTGCTCCCTTCGCCTAACTAGGATTTGGAGTATCTATTCTTTTTAGGTACATGCAGAGTGGAAGTAGAATTCCATCTCTATTATGCAAAATTCAAATAACTAACCCCTAGGAATTTTAAGATCCACATAAACCCAGAATTGAATGCCTAAACACTCCTTTTTGACTAATTGGAATTACTTAAAAAAAAAAAAACCCACCATGTCCAAAGGATAGCTTAAATTGTGGTGTGAAGCTGACCCATGAAGCAAAATCTGAGCCATTTTGCGGAGCTATATAAGATGCCAGAACGTCCATTAATCGAATCACTTCAGTTGTCCAAAGAGAAAATAAAGATCGGAGAAAGCCTTACCCCAAAGTGAATTATATTTACAAAAAGGATTCCTGACCAAACACCTTTATACAGAATCTAGGACAATGATAAATGTCATCCAAATACATCAAAATAACGACAAAGCCAAAATCCACAGGAAAACAAGAAAATAGTGTTACCAGAACTAAAGAAGGCACACTAGTTTGGTTCACTTGAGAATTACATCGTAAAATTCACAAAGATTCCTATATTGCTTCCAGTGGTCCACATCTTGCATATGCTATCAGCGGTGTTCATTATACGGTTCAAACCGTAAAATTCACAAAAGATTCCTAAATTGCTTCCAATGGTCCACATCTTGCATATGCTCTTAGGGGTGTTCATTATACGGTTCAAACTGCAAAACCGAATCGAACCAAACTGAATTTTTGATTTGGTTTGATTTATACCTATAAATGGTTTGGTTTGGTTTGAAAATTTTTTAAATTGTGGTTTGCGGTTTCGATTTGGTTTATTGAATTTTATAAACTGAATTAAACCGTAAATCGTAAATCGAAATTTTCTATATATATATATATAATATGAATATATGAAACATTATATATAAAATAATAAATAAAAGTTTTAAGTTTTAATTTTTAGAGGAGCTATTTGGGCTTTCTAATTGGGTTAAGCCCAAAAGAACTGTCTCTCTCTCTCTCCACTCAAATCTCCTCTATATCCCGCTTCTCTTTTGATTCTATAACGGAAGAGAGAAGGCCAATCCCTCTCTCTCTCTCGTTTGTTTTATAACCCTATCTCCCTCTTTTTTCCCTCTCTCTGGTTAGGCCGAATATGAGAAGAGGAGATGCCCAAGCCTTTCTCCTTGTTATTCTTTCTCTCTAAGCAAGAGATACTCGTACACTGTTCCACTTGGTCAAAAAATGTTGATTTGATAAAAAACCATCCAACCCAGTTCAACCTAGTCATTGGGTTGCAGGTTGCACATTCAATGTGTTCAAACTTTCATAGGCCCTAACTTTGCATTTCTATGTCCAATTTAGTTTTTTTTCCTGATTTTGGATAACATTTTGAGATTTATGCATCCCAAGGGGGCAAATGAGCCTTTCCCTGGCATATATTACATCTTAAAAATAATTATACATTTTTTACTGACAAAATACATCTTTATATATATAGTTGAATCATTAACCTATTTAACCAGGAAAATGGACGATGATTAAGACATTAATTCATTAACCTATTTTTGTTTCATATGAAGAATATAATATTAATGCATGTTCAATTTTTTTATAAAATTTATAAAAAATTTATATTTATATTTTTTATTATTTAATTTATGAGACAATAAAAATTACTTATTTATCAAGAGGAAATGCAACTCCAATATATTGTTTGAATATTGGTTTTTAATATTGTAGTCAAATCAATTATATATATATTTATATTTTTAAAATCTTTTTATATAATGAAAATAGTTGAAAAATATTTATATTTTTTGTTTTCCTTTATTTCAACTATTATATTTTATTTCCCTTTTAATAATTTGTGATTTTTTAAAGTTAAATTAGATTATATCAGATTCAGATATCCAACATCTTGATCGAATTTAGATTCAAATCAATATTTATGAGATCCGATAAGATCTTCGGATTGAATCAAATTTAATCCCTACTAAACCACTTCCCCACAATGACTTAGCTAATTAAATCATTGAACCATTTGACATGGTTAGTGGGGTCATGTGTTAGACATTAATGCTCTTTATTTTTCATCCTAATTTTCATCCCCATTTTTATCATTAATGAAAATAGTTCTCATTAATCTCACTTTTTTATATGATGAATATATAATACTATAGAATGTACCCAAAATTATCATCAAATTTCTACATTTTCTAGAATTTTGTATATTTTTTTATTTAATAATAACATCATGTGCTGATCCGTTTGACATTGATAGTTTAACCACTAACCCGCCACTTGGATGGAAAAATCATTTTTCTTTTTTGATTAATTTTAAATCATATATTCCATTTTCATCATCATTAAAAGTAATTCTTATTTTCACATTTATTTTGTTTAATATGGTGGATATATAACAATAGAACTGTATCCAAATGTTTTATGCAAAGCTTATATTTTTATTTGGGTTTATATATATATATATATATGTGTGTGTGTGTGTGTGTGTGTGTGTGTGTGTGTGTGTGTGTGTGTGTGTGTATGTGTGTGTATTATGTATCTAATATTCGTTACTTAGTTATGACATCATAGGTTGACCCATTTTACCTAGAATGTTAGATCATTGACCTACCTACCATCTAGATATGGAAATGGTTTCACTTTCAAATTGGTTTTAAATTTTGCAATTCATTTATATCATTGACAAAATAATTATTATTTATCATACTTATTTTTGTTTATATTATTAGTATATAACATTATAAATGTGCCCAAAATTGTTTCATATTTTTTTGTACTATTCTATTTTAAAAATTTTATTTTTAATTATACATCATGGGTTAACCCATTTGACCTGAAAGATTGAACTACTAACCCACCCCCTAGATGGGAAGATGGTTTAATTTCCCATCGGTTTTTAATTGTATATTTGATGACCATCAGTAATAAAATTATATCTATTTTATCATACTTATTTTTTAATATGACAAATATATAATAATAGAAGCATGCCTGATTTTTTTTTCTATATTTTTTATATTTCTAAATTTGTATTATTTATTTATGACATCATGGTTGAAGTGCTTACCCATGACCTAGATGAAAAATATGATTTCATTTCTAGGTTTATTTTAAAAATAAAAAATTTCATTCTATTAATAATTATTGTGTAGGGATATATTAGTGGACTTTAATAATGATAAACAAAATTACACATGTTGGATTCAATGAGAGAGAATGTGATTTATTTAATGACTTAAATGTGAGAGTTAATTGAATGTACCTAATGGTATTCTTTTAATTACATTTTCTACCCATTCAATAGAGATGAACTAAATACAAGAGGGGTATTTTAGTAACGAAAAATTCCATAAGCCAATACCTCCTCGTTTGCACTTTTATAAGTAGCATAGATATATACATACATACATATATATACTGACCCAATCAACCTGGACGATCGAACCGGTGACCCATGACGCAGAGGCAAAAGCGGTTTGGCCACCATGTCAGTTTTTAAAACATTGCTCGTGCCTTCGCCTTTGATGAATAGAGAAGCAGCCTTGCATTTTTATTCTATAGTCTTGAATGTTAATATTTGTAAAGTGGTGCTTTTAACACTTTTTTAACGGCAATTTAATAATTGCCACTTAAAAAATAAATACAATAGTACAATACAATGGTGATTTTGATATGTTTTTAATGGCTATTTAATATTTGTTGCTTAAAGAATACATATAGTGGCATTTTTTATATACATACAGTGGCATTTTTAACATTTGCCGCTAAAATTCGTATTTAGTGGCAATTAAATAAATGACATTATAAAGAACGCCACTAAATCTGAACTTTGTTGTAGTGGAAATTTGGAGCATCAATGAGGCTAAAGCCTGGTGGCTTCTTTAGTTTCTTATCTTGTTTCATTTTTCTGGTCTCCACTGCATCACTCCACCAACCAGCAGCCACAAACATGTTTGACAATGAAATGTAGTAGCCAACATTATCAGGTTCCATGCTAAAGAGAAGCTCTGCAACTTGTTTCCCCATATGGAGATCTCCATGGTAGTTGCAACCACTTAGGAGAGCACCCCATACGCCTGAAGGAGGACTACTTGGCATCTGTTTGATAAGCTCATGAGCTTCATGTAGCCTCCCAGCTCTACCAAGCATATCTACAATGCAAACATGATGCTCAGTAACTGGTTCTATTCCAAATTCGTTCAACATATGGTTGTAATAACAGTAGCCCTCATCAATGAGTCCTGAGTGGCTGCAAGCTGATAGTAAACTCACAAAAGTGCTCTTTGTTGCTTTAGCCCCAGTTTCACACATCTGTTCGAACAATTGAATTGCTTTCCTGCCATCACCATGGAAACCATATGCAGCTATCATAATATTCCAACACACAACAGACTTCTCTGGTAATCCTTGGAATATCTGAACAGCAATGTCCAGTCTTCCACATTTGCTGTACATATCCACGAGGGCAGAAGATATAAAAGGATTCTGGTTAATTCCTAAACGGATGACATGTCCATGGAGTTCTCTTCCATGTCTCGAAGCTCCAATTTGAGTACAAGCTGAGAGAATGCTAACCATGGTCATCTCATTAGGTTCAAATTGAAGACAGCTGAATAGTTCTAGTGCTCCTCTTCCATCTTGATTCTGAGAACAAGCAGAGATAATGCAATTCCATGAACATAGATTATGATAAGGACTAGAATGAAAAACTAATTTCACACTGTCAATATCCCTGCATCTGCTATACATGGTTAGCAGGGCATTTCTCACATGTATATCTGATTCCTTTGAAGTTTTAACTACAAGGCCATGGAGAAATCTACCCTCCATGATCAAGTTGAGGTTCCCACATGCTGATAGGATGCTTACAAAAGTGATAGAGTCAGGATTTATATGAGGTTCCTGGCGCAGTAGGTTGAAAGCTACTAGAGATTCCCTAAAGTGACCACTCTGTGTACAACCTACAATGACAGTATTCCAAGAAGCAATATCTGCTATATCTTGGTTACTCTGCAACAATGAGAAAGAAGCCACCAAGTCTCCACGGTTGATATACATGAGCATCAGTGCATTAACTGCTAAAACTTCTTCTGAGAATCCCATTTTTAGATGCCAACAGTGAATTAATTTTCCAAACTGAAGCGCTTGGAGGTTATTACAGGAGGGTAGAATGGCCAATAAGGAAAATAAACTGCATCTAGGGCCCGAGTGAAGCAGTTCAAGGAACAAACTCTTAGCCTTTCCTAAGTGCTTATTCTGAGAGTACCCAGCTATCATTGTGTTCCATGAGACCAGGTCTCTTTCAAGGATGGTGTTGAACAATACTTCTGCAGACTCTATGCTGTAGCACTTTGAATACATATCCATCAGACTATTTTTCAACAATATATCTGAATCCATTTCCCTCCGAATAATGAATCCATGGATGGCTCTTCCATCCTGCAACAAATTTAACTCGGAACAGAGAGAAATAATGGTAAGTACAGTCACCAGGTCTGGTTGTATCCCTGCCATAAATTGCATTTCATGTAGAAGATCAAAAGATTCCAGAATCTTTCCATTTTCAAGAAGCCCATCAAGCAATGAGTTCCATGAAACCACATCCCTATAGCTCATTCCTTTGAATACAGTCTCTGCAGCCTTAATGTCCCCACAACGTGAATAGAATGAAATAAGGGAATTTGCAACAGAAATATGGGAAGTTTCTCCATAACCTAGTTTGATGCCCAAGCCATGAATGACTAGACCACAGTGCAGATCTCCCAAACGAGAGCATGACGAGATAGCACATGAGAAACTAACATTGTCTGGTCTTTCACCAGAATAACTGATTTCTTCAAAGTACCACAATGATTTTTCAGGGGAACCATTACATAGACATCCACACATCACAGAATTCCATGATGTCGTATCTCTATATTTGATCTCTGCAAACATACACTCTGATGAGCTCAAGTCAGCAGATTTCGCGTACATGTCTACAAGAGCATTACCAAGAAAACAATCTGCAACCATCCCTGCTTTCAAGCTTAAACAATGGATAACCCGACCTTGTTTCATGTCATTCATGTGGGACAAAGCCGATATGGCCACTAGTAGGGTTGTAGAATCAAACACACATCCCTCTTTCATCATCTCCTGGAAAATGGCCACTGCATCTTGGAACCTTTGATTATCAACACAAGCAGTAATCATTGCATTCCAAGCAACCAAATCTCTGTTGAGAATTTCATTGAAAATACTCCTTGAAGAGCTCAAATAACCAGCTCTAGCATAGGCAGTGAGGAGGGAGGTGGCTGTGGGCACGTCATTGAGACCCCCCAGCTTCAGAGCCAACGCATGGTGGGTTGAAGCATTAACAGTGTGGGGTCTCGAAGTGGAGGCTTTAATGAGATTCCATACCTGGTAGAAGCGAGTATCATCCAAGTACTGATGACCCCTCTGTGGAAATTCGTCAACTAGGTCGCGAGCAGAGCAGGCAGATGAGAAGCTATCGAGTGACCGAGAGCGAGCTTTTGGGACAAGAAAGAATGACCCGATGGACAAGTAATAGCTGTGTTCTAAAGGGTTGTTACTAGAGGAGAGCAAGTGAAATGGAGATGGAGTTTTGATGAGTTTCGGTACTTTAACAAACATCCAGTCCAGGAGAGTTTGTCGGTAAAAGCCGTTGAAACAGGCGGTTTTCTAGAGCGTGTGGGGGAGAGGAGGTGGTGTTGTCCTGTTGCCTGCTTAAACCCCTTTTTTTCTTTCGTCTCAAAAGCCCATCTGAGAAGCCCAAAAATAAGTACTTATTTTTCAAATAAGCACTCCCAAACTTAACCTTATTCATGTACTATCCACCCACACCACGCCAACCATGCTATCAAATATCATTCAAGGAAAGCCTTATTTTTGGATAAATTATAAGGACCCTCTTGTCCTATGGGGTCAGTGACAAGGACCTCTTGTATTTTTGTATTTGCAACAAAACCCCATGAACTTTAACCATTAGACAAAGAGCCCCTCCGTAACATTCCATCCGTTATCTTTTAAAAAAAACCTCATTCAATTATTTAAAAATTTGTTAAATCCTTAAACTACCATTTTCTTATTTATTTGAATGATGAGAAGACATCTCAGACCACATCGCCATAGATACCCGTGACCATAGCAACGATTGATTGTTGTAAGTGATCTATGATTGCTGGAAATCCACAAGGACTCGCAATCAACACTGCAATTCTTTTATTAGGTTTCTAAGAGACCTTACAAACATAGTTAGGATTATTTTGTTGTACTGTTAAGTCAACTTGTTTGTAATAGGCTCTTTTTCGTTATTGTTTTGTTATTGGTATTCGACTCGTTTGCTTAACTTCACAAATGAAGCACAATTGCTTGTAAAATATTATGACAACACTTGAAAATTTTAATTAATAGTTGAATTCATGGTGAAGGGATGAGAGATCCATCATATGGACGGCCGCAGGAAGATTGAGCGAAATTTCATAAATTTCTTTACTCCCATTCGGGAGTCCTATTCCCAATTTAGAAAATTGCATTTTCAAGGTTTGTTCTTGTAATCAAACCGGACCAAATCTAAAACCAAATTAAGGGAGGGATATATCTGATACGGAATCCACGCAAGAATGTTCCTCCCAACGTAAGTGTTCATGCCCAAAGAGAGTACCAAATCCTCCTTCCATTGAAAATGACACAGCTTAGGGTGAGGCAGGATCAGTAGGTACTTCTTCACCAAGAAGTAGTGATTTTTCAGCAAAAACCAAATGGGATAGTGAGCACAACTTCTAAATTGTTTTTTCTAGCAAGAAACAATATCAAGATCAAATCTTGATCCAATCCAAGAATTGGAGATCGAACAAGATAGGGCGGCAAGAGCAGGAAGAAAAAGAGAAGAATGCAAGAACAGTCTAATTGTATTGTCTTCTCTCTGTATTCAGCAAATGTGTCTTTGGAGGTTCGCCCTGCCCTCTTATTTATAGCCTTAAAGAGAAAATTTCCTAATCCCATTAGGAGTTTTCTAATCCAAATCTTTTATTTGGATCTGGACTCTTTAAGTGATAAGGATAATCTATTATCTTATCTGCAGATAAAGATCAACCTTCCTAATCAAATTAGGAGTTCCTTTGATCCAAATATTTATTTGGATATGGACTCTTTAAGTGGATAAGGATAATCCCTTATCATATTTGCTGATCCAAATTCCAGATTCACCCCTATTTAATTAATCTAATTAACTCAATTTGAAATGGGCTTTTAAGCTTATTTAGCTTTCAGGCTCACTTTCACTTTAATGTTGTCTAACTTGGCTCTCTTTGTATGGCGTGGGACCCTATCATTGATCTACACATCAGCCACATGGGTTCAACCTAGCCTCTGTTACAAGGCTTGGCCGAATTCACTACTGAATACAGTGAACCCCCGAGTCCATCACTATGGGCTCTTAATGGGCCCAACATTTACACTAAATGGTCATTGGGTCCAGTCATCTTATGAAGGCCCAAGGACTGTGGGCAGATGCTAGATTAGCCCATCAGATATAATCCTCAATGGTCTTACACTTAACCTCTCATCCCATGATGATCAAACACTACCCGACAAGAGAAGACATCTCCTTTGGCTACAAGGTGTAGTACTTCACTCTCTACTCACATGGATCACAGGAATTAAAACCTTTTGCAAACATTTTGAAACCATAATATATATATATATATATGTATATATCTATATAAATATATTTTTCAAAACAAATTTCAACGGTTGAAATCAACTGCCAACAGTTTAGGTTTCCATCAGAGAGAGTGCATGCCCGATCATTCATTTTACTCGACAAAGGGGTTGATCCTATCACTATGATCACCCAGTCAGATGAATTCTCGGATTGTCCCAACATACCTAGGTTTTGACCCCCTCTAAGGATCTCACTGATTGGCATATTAAAGACAGTCCAATCCAACATCTAGTGCAGTATCATAATCGAGTATGGGGGTCAGGTGTAACATTCCAGTTTTGCCTATCTATATCCAAGGTCCAGGGCAATACTAGAATTTTGGTCCGGTTTAGGGTTTCGAGAAAACCCACACTGCATGTACCTCAGGTCTCACCCTGGCAGCTGAGGCAAGCCACTCCAACCAACTTGGCAGTACACTAGTGTCAGCCTTGGCAGGATAAATCTCCTCAGATCTTTCTAACGACTGTGAAAATTCTAAATTAATACGAGTTTAGTATGTGTCCAATTTAAGGGTATTACACAAAAACACACCATAATAACATGAATCAAATATATACTTTATTCATTTACAATAAATGTCATAATGTACATCATGCTGATTGGAGCTAAGGACATACACTATATAACACATGGAAGCTTATTAAAAAATTCAATGCTTTAGGCTTCATAGCCTGTGATAATTTCAAATTAATTAAATAAATCTTTTAGATTTCTTTTCTTTGTTACCTCTCTCATTTATTTTGCTTCTCTCAAGGTAATTTTTATCGGAAAGGTAATACGGAGATTAGATTAGGTTAGGGTTTAAGAGAAAAAGGGCAATGAAAAGAAAATAAAAAAAGTTCAGATGGGTATTTTGATAATTTAATATATTCAGTCATCTGACTTAACGGTTATGGGATATTTGTTTAGAAAGTAGAAACCCTGTTAGGTTAGAGTTCAGGAATCAGGATAGGCTGTGCTTGATATTAGCCCATCCCAATCGATGTACATAAATACCTGGGCCAAGATTGATTCCAGCCCAAGTCCACTCTTGTGTAGTTGGTTCTATTAGTTCAATGGGCCCATATAGGCTTAACATGAGAAGAGCTATAGATATATAGCTGACGTTCACAAGGCAGTGGGAGATTACATCATCAAATCCTTAATCCATATCTGCCATTTCAGCAATCCATATGCCAAATTAGAAATCTATTCTATTCTGGTCCTATTCTGTTTGAAAGGATACATAGACAGACAGGAGAGACTACATCTATTAAATTAAAAGCTTAACAATTTAATATTACAACTAAATGCAAGTGGATCCATCCATCCCTGACCCAACTGGATTCCCTCTGAGGGGTGGGGTGGGCTTCTCCAGATTTGAATACTGATCAGTGATATCTGAAGACTCAGTACAAACCTTTTAAAACCACTTGATTCTCCCACCACTATGGAAACTACATTTTTGTACTCACAGAGTTTTTATTATACTGGTTGTAGAGATCCAGCTAGAATGATCTAAAACTTGGTTTTAGGTTAGGCCAGGTTCAGACTGGGCCCACCCCAAGTTTCACTTGTGCTAGGAGTTCAGATTTGGCCGGGCTAACATGAAACCCTGCCCCAGCCTAAGTTGTGTTCTGGTTCAGGTTGGTTTGGCTTGACAGAAACTTTGGACCCAAAATTGAGCTCAACTTGAACTCAGCTGAACTGGGCCAATTGGGCTCTTTTAGTTTAGAAAGATCTCCCGATTGGGCCAATTAGGGGATGATTTCCTTGATTATTCTAAAATTGAAAGTTTCTTTTTCATTTTTTTAGTTAAAACAAAAATTATGCAGGAAAAATTCTTGGAGAATTTTTTTTTGGCCCAAGCCCGGAGGAATTGTGTCCAACCAAATACATACTTAGTTAAAATTTAGGGTTTTAAGTAGAGGTGCAATGGAGTTGAGCCGAGCCGAACTTTGGCATGTCTTGGTAGGGGTGGTCATGGTTTGTTTTGGTGCAGTTTAGAGTAGATCTCAGACCAAACCAACAAAATACGGTCTGAGGATTTCTCAGACCAAACCAAACCGTTTTATTACAGTTTGGTGCAGTTTCTAATATGATTTGGGCCATTCTAGTGTGCTTAACCCAATTTAGAAAACCTAACCACATATATGATTGCATAAATAATAAATATTGTTTTTTAGTCACCATAAAAACATTGAATCTTTGTAATTGATATGATAATTTGGTTAGAATGAGAGAGTTTTTGAGAATTTATTTTATTGTATATAAAATATATTATATATGTTAATATATGTATGTATATTTCAGTTTATGGTTTACAGCTTGGTTTGGTTTCTAAAATTCAGAAAACCAAACAAAACCGTATTAAGTTTAGATCAAACCGAACTGCACATTATGGTTTGGTTTGGTACGGTTTGGCAGTTTGAACCCCATATGAACACCCCTATGTCTTGGCTCAGTTCAATTAAAATACCACTAGGTTCAAGTCTGAGCTCGAGTTCCATTCAAACACAATTTTTTGTTGATTTCGAATTCTTAATCGAACTTATCCCGAGATTCAAATTCAAACCTGAACTATTTGCTTAAAACTCAATTTGATTGCACCCCTCATTTTAAAGTTAGGGTTTACAGGTTTAGAGATTTAAGATTTAGATTTTAGGGTTAGAGTTTAAAAGTTTAAAGTTTAGGGTTTAAAATTTAGGATTTACATTTAAAAATCAAGAGGTGGTCAGGCGAAAAGCATCCAACCATGACTGGAGTTGAATTTGTGCTCAACTTCTTGCGCTTGGATGCGTAGCAAGGGCTTCTGGGCTGAGACTTTCCTCATGTTAAACCCACACAAGATTCATGCATAGGTCTGAAACGTGTCAGGTATTGATTGGTTCATCTCCATGTTCTTCTTTAAAAAGGAATTTTAGGTTGT